ACCTGGGTCACCCTGTGATTCCAAGGAACAGGAGGAAGAGGAACAGGGAGGCTCCAACGCGGAGTGGTGAAGGACGAGGGTGAAGGACTCCGATACCAGGGCTTTTCTGACCCCTCTGGTCTCAGCCTCCTTGTTGAAGTGGGGACGTTAATGACCAAACTGAGAATTAAAAAGTGTAGGTAAAAGTGCCTAGCATATCTCTGGGGCCCACTTCCTAGGTGCCTTTGTCAGGACTTAAAAGATTCTAAATATTTCAATAAGGGTTATACAATCAAACATAACGCTGGAGTAAGAAGCACCCTAGGCATACTACAGGCAATAAAATATTTACAATGTAACTTACCAAACACAGAAACATGCTGTACAAATACTCAAACCTGATATGTGATGGTATGTATCAAATTTAGAAATATGTGATATGTAAATGTATAAAAATAAATGTGATTTTTAAAAGGTGGAAAAAAAAGGGGCTATCACAGACCAAGGGAGAGAGCAGGAAAGTCTCCTGGCCCAGGACCCCAGCGGGAGAACCCAGACTGTTATTGCGACAGGTGCCACGCGGGGGCGCCGCGCACTCACCTAGGGTTCCTCTAGTTCTCCTGTTAGGAGAGCTGCACACCCCGAGGCCTGCCCTCTGGGCCCCAGAGAACAAATATACTGTGGACCTAAACATATTTCAAAATGTATTTACATCTTGACAGTCTCCCAGAGCGCAGGAGGCTGAGACTGGAGGTTCAAAGCCAGCCTCAGCAAAGGCGAGGTACTAAGCAACTCAGTGAGCCCTGTCTCTAAATAAAATACAAAATAAGGCTGGGGATGTGGCTCAGTGGTGGAGTGTCCCGAGTTCAATCTTTGGTACATATAAATAATTAATTAATTAATTAATTAATTAATTAATTAATTAAATAAAAATTCAAAAGGAAAGAGCTGTTAAAATCAATGGGAAATTAATCCTTCCAGAGGAGATAAACACCAAACTCGAGGCCACAGGCAAACCCAGAACTAGAACAATGACCCTCTAAACATATGGCTAAAATTACTAATCAATAGACAAACTCTAATGTTACCAATTTATTTTTCATGTATTTCATGCACGTGTGCGAACACACACAAACACACACACACATACACACACAGTTATGTATGGCTTAACAACAAGGAAATGTTTTTAAGAACTCACGTGATTTTCTCCTCGTTCCAACATCACAGGGTGCACTTACATAAACCCGGATGGTAGAGCCTACTGTATGCCTAGGCTATAGGGTGGAGTCTTGCTTTTAGGCCACAAAACTGTTCAGCATGTTACTGGACATAGTATTGTAGACAATTGTAACACAATGGTGTTTGGGGGATTTAAAAATAGAAAAGTTACAGTAAAATTATGGTATGAAAGACAACAAGATGGTGAGCTTGTCCAGGGCCCTCGCGGTGAGTGGAGTGTGCAGGACTGGAAGCTCCTCTGGGTGAGTCAGTGACTATGCAGTGAGTGGACCTGATGCCCTACTGTACACTTTATAAACACTCTAGGCCACAGCAACTTTATAAAGAACATTTTTCTTTTTTCATTAACAAATTAACCTTAGCTTGCTGTAACTCCACCCCCCCTTTTTTTTGTTAGATTGTTCTGTTTTTGGTGATACTGGGGATTGAACCCTGGGCCCCACATCCGCTAGAGGAATTCCCTACCACTGAGCTACACCCCCCTACACTGTAACTTTTTTACTTCATAAATTTTGAGATCTTTAAAAACTCTTCCAGTCTGTTTGTAATAGCACTTAGTTGAAAACAAACATTATAGCAGCCATACAAAAATATTTCTTACCTTATATCCTCACTCTATGAGCTTTCATCTATTAATCATTCTTTATTTTTTTAAGTTGTCAATGGATCTTTTTTATTTACTTATATGTGGTGCTGAGGATCAAACCCAGGGCCTCACACAGGCCAGGCGAGCGCTCTACCACTGAGCCACGCCTCCAGCCCTTACTAATCATTTTTTAAAAACTTTTTTGTTAAAAACTAACACACACACACACACACATATTAGCCTACACAAGGCCAGAATCATAATTGCCACAGTCTGCTACCTTCACATCTTGTCCCCCTGGAAGGTATTTAGGGACAGCAACACACTGGGAGCTGCCGGAGCTGCGTCTCCTCTGACAGAGACGCCTTCTCTGGAATCACCCCTGAAGGGCCTCCTGAGGCTCTTGAAGAGGTGGCACTCTGCAGAACTGTGTGCATGGTGGTTTGCTTCTTTCTTCATGGTGATTTGCTTACATGTGGATAATACTCTTCTCTATAAATGAGAACCTTTCAGTGTTGGGTCTGTGTTTTCGAACTTTATTTATTTTAGTTGTTGATGGGCCTTTATTTTATTTATTTATTTATGTGTGGTGCTGAGTTGAACCTAGTGCCTCACACATGCCAGGCAAGAGTGCTACCACTGGGGCTGGGGATGTGGCTCAAGCGGTAGTGCACTCGCCTGGCATGCGTGCGGCCTGGTTCGACCCTCAGCACCACATACAAACAAAGATGTTGTGTCCGCCGAAAACTGAAAAATAAATATTAAAATTCTCTCTCTGTCTCTTAAAAAAACAACAAAAAAAAAACGCTACCACTGAGCCACAGCCCCATCCACGCTTTCAAACTTTTTAAGGAGATTTCTGAGGTTTACAAAGCTTCTGCAAGCCCTTCACTGTGAATTTTCTTGGGACTTCTTTTTCTTCTGAAGTTTCCTTTTCTCTTGCCTTTCTTTAGCTTTAATTTCACTAGGCAATAGGAACATTTCAGCTCCGTTATCATCTTTTGAACATTATTTATTTTTAATTTTTTTTTAAGCCCTCGGGATATAGCTCAGCTGATAGAGTGCTTGCCTTGCATGTACAAGGCCCTGGGTTCTAATCCCAGCACACACACAAACACACACACACAAAATGGTATGTTAACCCAACGACTACATAGAATTATAAAGCTCTAATAAAAAATTAAGTTTGTTCTTTAAAGTTATACATGACAATAGAGCA